AGTTATTCCTAAAAATTACAGGCCTACAATATAAAACGCCAAATTTCCATGCAAAATAATGGTACCGCTTTCAGCACCAAAAATCTGATATAATCATATCGCCAGGGAGGTTAAAGAAACACCATGGGAGTTGTATATGATCCACAGTGCTTTAGCGAGCTATATGTCATTCAGTTAAAGATTATATATATTATAATGTTAAAATTCGAAGGGCCCACGAACATCTTTGCAATTCGATGTGTTGTGATAGGGCACTTTACGTGTGTTACTGGTGCTTGCAGTGCCTTTATTCTGCACGGCACCCGAAGTTTAAGTATTTTTTTCCTATTTTACCAGAGTAGGTAAAAAAAAACAGTTTGCATATATGCAAATACATGCGAACATGCAAATTCACTCTTCATTTTAGCATTTGAATCAGTTTATTCTGATTGCAGTTTGAGTAATGACATCAAAGTGGCTCAGATGTGTACTACTAAATCAGGAGCTCGTTATGCATTTTGCTAGCCATTGCAATTTTTATTGCTTTATGGTAATTAGGGTAAAACTTGACTTATTCCTTTTACACGTGAGCGCCACAGCCGTGCTTCTGTAATGTTCATGCCGTATACCCCAAACAGCTGATCATGTGCAGGGAAGTTGGAACAAACCAGAGTTTCCAATGAACATGCACTTCACAAGCATAGTTAATGCCAAATTAGATAGAAATGGTTAAAACCCCGATTATGTGACCGTGGTCTGTGTTCCATTTGGGAGCAGGAGCGGACTGACCATTTGGAAACTCGGGCACTGCCCGAGGGCCCGGGGTTAGTAGGGGGCCCCATGAGATGCCTCTGGTACCTTTTTCATAGGCTTTTTTGAGTTTGGGCAAGGACACAAGGGCCCCATGATTCCCTATTGCCCGAGGCCCCATGAGTTGTCAGTCCGCCCATGTTTGGGAGATTTCCCCTCTTGTGCTGTCCTGGGAATACAACAGGAAGTAGGATGAAATCTCTCCAAAATGAGATCTCCTCTTAGACATTTGGGACTTGAACAGGTATCTTCATTGAAAGATCATCCCTAAAGTAATACATTTTAATTGCCATCATACCTTCTACTTATGTATAACGATCCTGCCACTGTATTTAATTTAATATAAAAAAAAATCATCTGAAGTCTGAGGTCACATGACATTTCCCAGTCTAAGGGAAAGTTCTGAGGGAGGAGTTTCTAGTATTCTGCCGATATATGGATCTGTGCCTGTACAGCGTTGATTGGTGCTGTTCTGGTCACATGACATGAAAAAGTTTTCAGAATAGAGAATTCAAATTAATAACTAATAGCAACTAAATGTTTGAAAGCTTTAAACAAATCTATATTTCAAAGCAAATGTTTATTATTTTTTTGCAATAACATGATGTAGGTGGAGTTTAAGTTGACCAACAATAGCTTTCACTTTGAAGAGATCTAGAGGAGGTTCTTTCAATCGCAGGCTGTGTCATGCTCCTCCAGCCTGTGTCTATGGTGTGTATGTGCTGGGACTATCAGGGAGGTGAAGCCTCCATCAATCACCATCTTATATCCTGCCCTCATAGTGTTTGGCAATATGAGGTCATGGAGGAGGTGGGAGGGAGCGGACTGTCTTTTACCACTATGTATACACCTACATGTGTGACTCTATAGGCACATGGTTTGCACAGATAAAAAAAAAAACGATGAAATTAACTGTTTAGAAGGGCACTGAAACTGGAGCATGCTTAGTAGATGTCAACAGCTGGTCTACACAATCTCAGGCTGCAGCGGGGACACTGACACGGAGGGAGGGGCAGTGAATAGTAGGATCAACCAGGATTTTTGCAGTCTACAGAAAACAAATGCTCTAAAGCAGGGGTGTCAAACTGGTGGCCCTCCAGCTGTTGCGAAACTACAAGTCCCATCATGGCTCTACCTTTGGGAGTCATGCTTGTAACTGTCAATCTTGCAATGTCTCATGGGACTTGTAGTTTGGCAATAGCTGTAGGGCCGCTAGTTTGCCACCTGTGCCCTAGAGGATGAGTATGAACACAATGTAATATTGCATGTATTGACAGTTTTTGATGATTTGGGTTTAATGACACTTTGGGGTTTATTTACTAAAGCTGGAGAGTGTAAAATTAGGCCCACTTCTGCATAGAAATCAGTCAGCTTCCAGGTTTTTATGTCAAAGCTAAATTGAACAAGCTGAGGTTAGAAGCTAATTGATTTATCTACAGAAGTGGGCCTGATTTTGCCCATTTCAGGTTTAGAAAACAAACCTCTTTAACTCCTGTTCTGTAGCATCAAATGTTGGATGTCCCACCACTTCATGTCCTGGTCTCAGTGCTCATCAAGACAAATACAGGTAAATCCCCAGCAGGTCACAGACAGCTATACAGACCTGTCAAAGGTGTCAACCTTTACCTATTCTATCCAAGAAAAAAATGTGTATAAAAGCACTTGGAGGTCTGGTATAAATGCTTTCACCCAGGATTCACACGTAGAAGTCTGGTTGTCAATGTTGTCACCTAGGATTCACACTTAGAGGCCCAGTTATCAATGCTGTCTCCCAAGGATCACTCTTAGCCCGAGTTCACATACATGCCGTGCAGTATATTGCATGTGATGCACACAGGGACCGCACCGCATTCCTGTGCAAATCACATACGATTTGCGTGTGTTGCGATCAGAGCCATACATTATGTATGGCTCTAATCGCACTGCACCCGCACCAAAAACATGCAGGACCTTTATTTTGGCCCGCACTAGAATCAGATCGCATGGGTATTCACACTTATGCAATCCAATTCTGCACCAATTGCGGACCACTTTTGGGGTGTTGTTAACATACACACCTGCAGCGGTTCGCATGAATGGGTTGCGATTCTGATGCGGAATTCGCACAGAAAACGCTGCGAGTTCCACACTGCATCAGTGTGAACCAGGGCTTAGAGGTCTGGTTATCAATTTTTCCACCCAAGATTGACACAACTTTCATCCAAGATTCACACATATGACTAACCGGATCTTGTGTGAAAGTTATAAACAGCCCTTAGTATACAAGAATCAGACTAACAAAATGACAGCAATCTGAAGAAAAGGGCTATCACCTATTTCTAGCTTTAGGTTCCAGTGCCATCTACCTAATTCCTAGAGCAGGTTATTATTGCTGTCTAATGTCTCATTGGAGAGATTTTTTTTTTATTTTTTACCGCAATGACAATCACCAAACAGAAACTTAGAGAAAATCTGCATTAGCAAAAAAATCTGATAGGGGTTCTAACCTTCACATACTCTACACAAAAATGCAGTTTGTGTCCCTGTTGCAGATTTTTCCTAACTTTCTGTCATGGTTACCAGGACAACATGGGCCGAAACCAGGGGCGGACTGACCATTTGGTCTCTCGGGCATTGCCCAAAGGCCCGGGGTCAGAAGGGGGCCCCATGAGATGCCCCTGGTACCTTTCATAGATTTTTTTGGGTGTGGTTTGAGTGTGGGCGAGGACACATGGGCCCCATGATCCCCTATTTCCCGGGGGACCCCATGAGTTGTCAGTCCATCCCTGGCCGAAACACACTCTTTCTACTGAGCAGAGGAAAACCACATTATGTGCATTAGTGCCATTTATTTTGAATGGCACCCAGGTGCACTAAGGCAGTGCAGCTCCAATGCATGGTAATGCACTGCCATGCATTGTAGTGTGCTGCGTTGCTATGAATGCTGTATGTCCTTTTTATAGACATTGTGGTGCATTTCCAGCCCATTCATTTGAATGGACAGCCTCAATGGAAAATTAAAAAATGCATGTTAGCGCAATATACCAGAACATCTGAATGGGCCCAAAGATAGGAGAAATCTTCCCAATAAAGTCTTGGACAGCAGTAAAAATCTAAGAGAGGTTCTAATCCTTTCCCATTATATTCAAAACTGAAATAAAACATCTGGCTGAAGATACATTTGCACGATACAAAAGATGAAACTGGGTTAAACTGCAGAATCCTAGAATCTTATACGTGTATTTGTATGACACAGTTCCTTAATACATCTTAATCTCTATAACTTTTCACATTACCCACAAAGATTTGCATATACTGAAAGTAATATATTCTGCAGTCTCCTAAATAGCCTGTGTTACTGTCAGTTTCTTGGTGCCAGAAGACATATTTCTTGAATGAGCTTAGGTCGAACGTAGGATGTGTAGGAAGAAAGTGGGAAAACATAATGGTCATAAAACTATTATACAGAGAAAAGCTAAAGTAAAGCATAATGGACACTCAGTATTCTGCCTATTTCAGGGAAACTTGCTCTGTCTGCAGAGAGTATATTTAGTAATTTGGCAGCTTCAGTTCATATCCATCTCTGCCAGCCTTAGGGGGTTCATATGTGAGGAGGTAACCCAATCCCCGTCTAAACTCCACTCCCTATAAGGAGCCTTGAAGTGTCTGCTAATTATACCAGCTCTTATCTTTTGGACACCTGCAGCAACCTCTTGGGGTTCAGTCATCCGTGGACATAGTGCTGTGACGAAGCCCTGTGTCCCCAAGCACCATGGCGCAGGTCAGTCTGCGTTATAGAGACGTCTGTACCAATGCCTCCTTATCCTCCATTCATCTAATCTTCTCTTTTGTTGTGCCCTACAATATTTCATTTTTTTTTAATTTTTTTTCCTGGTTATTTTTTAATGAAAGTTTGCCCGTGTCTGGTGTAATGGGGCTTTTTGGAACTCCTCATATCAGACCTCACAGAAGACGTTGTTTGTGCTCCCAGCTCTTGTGGATACTCTTTATTACTTGAAGCCCCTGATGCTTTTGTTTTGGTGGTTGAAGGAATACCCAGGGCTGTTTGCTCTGCACAAATCGGCACTTGCAGGCCTGGCTCCTGGCTGATTTTGAAGGCATTACTAAAACATGGAGTAGAGTATTAAGGGTTAGGTCTTTTCTTAAGATGAGTTAATGGATGATGGATCAATAATGAGCATATCTTTGGTTTGCAGCCTACAGACCAGCAGATGGACGCGAGGTCCTTTCTCAGCGAGGAAATGATCGCTGGTAAGTCTCCTTGTACTTGATACTTTGTAGTATTCGGTGAAGCCTAGATCAGTGGTGTCCAACATTTTCTTAGCCTGGGATCATGCAATCAATTTGACATCTTCCTTAAAAAAGACACTTTCACTGGCCCGTCTTCTGGCCATCATGAAACTTTAAACATAAATTCATAATCCTCATTTGCTGCTGCTACTTATATGGTGCATACCTTTGATCTGGGCTTGGTGTGTCAGATTGTGTTTACCAAATTATGTATCTGATTTAAATGTGTGATTGAAGACATGTATGCCGAGTAGTCTCTTAAGGCCTCTTCTCCACAAATGATTTGGATTGTCATGTAATGGACAAGATAATTAAGGAGAGTCTTAGAGACAACTCAGTCCTTTATCATTTTCATGTGTAAGAGAAAGATTATGAAAGTCTCACAGGAGAAATATTCTAGGGTTAAAAAAGGCTTAATAAACTTCTTTGTAGGCTTAATAAACTTTATTATGTAGTCATGTGCAGGATTTCATAGAAAGAATTAATATTTTGGTAAGCTTACAGTGAAAGACTAATTGAAATCTGTTTTCTGATTGGTTGTATGAGTTCTTATTCACCATGTGAAGTCCACAAATGTCTAGGTGTCAGACTTCTGCTAGAAAAGTAGCATCTAATAGAATAATGAGTGATCACCAATATTTTGGATACAGGATAATATTTGGTTTATCCGATGAATTAACTTGCAATACAGACTGCCTTTAATATAGTGAGGCTGAAATCGGCAGTCTTAGCAGTATTGGCCATCAGTATTTAACGTGATACTATTGCAGGATTCACTATCCAACACTAATATATTTATCATAAATGAAAGAGGAAAATTTATCTAAAAGGATGGCCATATAAGTGATACCGAATGGCCACATATGACTGAGCATCACTGCCGTAAAATTTCATTTGTATTTTGAGAAACACCACCAAATATAGGTAACCTGTCATAAGTAAAAAATGGGGTTGCCAGTGCTGACCTCTCTTTCTAAAATACTAGTTGCATAGCTGTCATGTTAGTCCCCTGGCTTCTATATTGTATGGCCTATTGACATAGAACAGGTATACGAGGTTTGGTATTATGACTTCATTCTAGCTGCTTACGTTTATGAGGTCAGTAACTCAAATTGTTTTGAAGCCAGAGAGGGATAGTTAGCATTTTTAAAAAGACTTTCCAGTCATTTCTGATTAGAAATTCAGAAATTGATGCCCCTATTGTCCTCTTGAGACCGGTCCATTTGTATATATAAGGGGCAAAATGTCCATTTGTATATATAAGGGGCAAATAACACTAGATAAAGGAGAAAATGACACTTTGTAGAGGTAAAAAGGGCATTAAAATGTAGATGGTAAGGAAGGAATTTCACAGCCGTTCTCCGGTTTCAGAGGATTATTGATAGCGCGAGAAGCAGAATTTTAAACAGCATAGAGAAATGTAATGCATTGGCAAGATTCATTGTGATGGAAGTAAAAAGATAGCACAAAATCTTAGGAAACAGACTGATTTATGTGAAGTGATCATTGAATGAGTGAGTTAGTAAGGAACAGTGAATTAAAATTACCTATTACAATGGGAAAGCACAAAAATCAAAATCTTTTCTTTTCTCTGTTAACAGAGTTCAAGGCCGCCTTTGACATGTTTGACACTGATGGTGGCGGTGACATCAGCACCAAGGAGTTGGGTACTGTCATGAGGATGCTTGGACAGACCCCAACCAAAGAAGAGTTGGATGCAATCATTGAGGAAGTAGATGAAGATGGTGAGTTTAGGACAGATAGCCTTTGATGGCCTTGTGCATAAGCTTGACTAACTGATGGCCAAAATTTTGAAAAATGTTGCCATACATATTTACAGAAAATTTGAATAAACCCAAAACACTGGCACACAAGTCACGTGGATGACAACATGGACTACACAGACAAGAAGACACGGCCCTCTCTCCTACTATTCTGGTTTTTGATATCTGAATATTGAAAATAACTTTGCCCACACCAAAGTAAATGAGGTCCAAAGGTAGCCACGTACATAAGATTAACATTGCACAATTGAGCTTTTTGGCCAGCTCAATCCATGACCATTATGTTTATTGATTTTGGAAGACACACCTAGATAGTCTTGAAATCAGGGGCGGACTGACCATTTGGAAGCGAGGGCCCGGGGTCAGTAGGGGGCCCCATGAGATGCCCCTGGTACCTTTTTCATAGGCTTTTTTGAGTTTGGGCAAGGACACAGGGGCCCCATGATCCCCTATTGCCCGGGGGCCCCATGAGTTTTTCAGTCCGCCCCTGCTTGAAATAGTCATTGAATTAAATGTTTTTTCTAATTTCTATGGGAATTGTTTTTTGCTTCAGCCATGAATGAAAAAGCCACTGATGAGGCTTACATTCCTCCCCTTCAACACATGCATAGCCTAGTTATACAAACATGATCTGAATAAATGACAAACAATTCCCCAATGTCCTTCCCAATTCGAATGTCTCTGAATTGTAAAAGGGTTCATGTGGACAGATGTTTATATCAAATGCAGCCGTTTTCATTCAAACGCAGTGCTGCTCAAACGCATGTGTTGAAGGCCAAATGCAACATTTGTCAAGAAAAGGTTGTCTATGACCTGCAAAACAAAACACATAATAATAAGACCTGCAACATCCAAAGAAACATTCTGAAAAGCAGGACAAATGCTGCCTCTGCACCAGGGGTGGACTGACAATTCATGGGGCCCCCCGGGCAATAGGGGATCATGGACCCCTATGTCCTTGCGCACACTCAAACCACACCCAAAAAAAGCCTATGAAAGGTACCAGGGGCATCTCATGGGGCCCCCTACTGACCCGGGCCCCCGGGCAGTGCTCAATTGCACAAATGGTCAGTCCACCCCTGCTCTGCAATCTGCTGACCTGCATTTGATGTGCATTTATACAAGCCCTTAAAGCCCTGATATTCTACAATAACCATACTTTGTGTGGTCACCTTAAAAGATGGCACTTTCTCAAAATTGACTACTGTATAGTCCATTGTGTACAGTACAATATGTCACAAATACTGTATGTCATAGACAAGATCTGTGGCATTTTAGAACTGAATGGTCACCTGTTTCTTTGAGGCATATAATATACATGTAAAGATGTGCTGTGTACTGGACCAAGATATGAGGTAACACCCATGATATCTTGCAGGCAGCGGTACCATCGACTTTGAAGAGTTCTTGGTCATGATGGTGCGCCAGATGAAAGAGGATGCGCAAGGAAAAAGTGAAGAGGAATTGGCTGAATGCTTCCGCATCTTTGACAAGTAAGTGCTGGCTTCCTATCCATATTCATTAACCCTTCACTTGGTTAGATGCAGATACCTGTGCACATTTACATGGATGTTGTAGCATTCCTGCTCCCTAAGAATGTCTGTCCTTTCATTCAGAAATGCTGATGGATACATTGATAGTGAAGAGTTGGGTGAGATCCTGCGTTCTTCAGGGGAAAGCATTACAGATGAAGAGATTGAAGAGCTCATGAAGGATGGAGACAAAAACAATGATGGAAAGATTGACTTTGATGGTGAGTCCCACGTATTTATATGTCACCCAACAAGATGCACAGATACAACTTCCTGATTGATGAGATCATACAACATTGGCTTTGTTCCACAATGAAACCTGGCACTCATATGCAGGGGCATGGCATATTTGTGTCTCTTTGCCTTTTAGTTAGGTGAAAGATCTTCATGTATAAACGTTTTTCAGGCTGCCATTGTGAAAGAAGAATCTCAAGAACAAATGGAATGCCAAACATCATTTCCTTAAAATATAACTAAAGACAAAACTTTTTTTTTCTTTTTTTTTTTTTGGACAGAGTGCAGAGGGATTAGAACACTTGTCAGTTTTTATTGCAGTCTTTGAGATTCACTCTCTCTATTTGCCCTGTTTACCATTATCATTAAAAGTGAAAGTAAAGGAAAATCCCAAATTTTGGGTTGTCCCCAAAAAAGTAATAGAGGGTAAACCTTCCAATGGGACCCTAGTTCTGGTAACCTGGAGGTTCCGAAAGAATTTCCTTAATTTTAAGGGGTTTCTCTCACTTCCTGTTTGGCTATGGTTATAGTTCTACTTTAACCCTGGTTCACACTGATGCGGTGCGGAATTTGCAGCATTTTCTGTGTGAATTCCGCACCGTATCAGAATCGCACCCTGTTCATGCGAACCGCTGCGGGTGTGTATGTTAAGTTAGCAACACCCCGAAAGCGGTCCGCAAAACGCAGTGCGATGTGCCGAATCGGATCACATGGATGTGAATACCCATGCGATCCAATTCTAGTGCGGACCAAAAAAGGGTCCTGTACCTTTTTGGTGCAGGTGTGGTGTGATTAGATTCATATAAAATGTATGGCTCCAATCGCACCGTACAAAAATCGCATGTGATTTGCACAGGCATGCAGTGCAGTTCCTGTGCAAATCACATGCAATATACCGCACCGCACAAGTGTGAACCCAGGTTTAATATTGCGCAGTGGTGTTGATATGAAGCTCTGCCCCTTTCCATTCAGCTCTTTCCTGACTTCTGCTGTGTTACAGTTGGTGCAAAATCAGATTTCTTGGAATAATATATGAATGATCAATCTTGCTCAGAAGACAGTTCATGCATGTGCCAGTTTTTATTCTTAGATATATTTTAGGCTTCATTATCTAAAACTAATCATACAATTTACAATCTGACTGTACAATCTCTTTAGATGTGCAACCAACTATGTGATATATACGGGCCTGCACAACGGATATAAACGGGATTGATTGTATAGATTTGTTCTCATAGTACATAGTTTTGTTACATTAAAAAAAAAGATGTGCAGAGATTGTGCAATTGTATTGTAAAGTGCATGATCACACTTACTACTCTTACATTATCTAGAATTGTTTTTTAGTATTGCAGTTTAAAAGTAGAAGTTGACGAGAAAATACATGACAAGTTCCAAATTCAGCAGTTTATGAGAGATCACACGACTGATTTGAGATTAGAAAGATTATCCGGCCTATTGAAAATATTGCATAAACTGTTCCATTAATTGATTTTTTACATCCTCTGACTACAACAGATTTCAGTTAATATTGATGTAAATAAAGATAAATGGGGGTTGAGTTACTAAAACCTGAGAGTACAAAAACTGGTGCAGCTTTGCATGGTAGCCAATCAGCTTCTAACGTTAGCTCGTTCAATTTGGCTTAGACAAAAAAAACCTGGAAGCTGATTGGCTTCTATGGAGAGCTGCACCAGATTTTCCACTTTCCAGCTTTAGTAAATCAGCCCCATAGAAACTGTAGTTTTGCATGTTACATTGGCAACTGTGACTAAAAATAAAAATAGACAAGTGCTGTTACAGCACAAACTATTAACCTATCAGACACGAGTCGTAAAATAATTGTCTTCTACTTCCCTGATGGATATTACACATTCTATATCATTTTTGCTTCTTTCTCCACAGAGTTTATCAAGATGATGGAAGGTATACAATAAGCTGTAGGACATTCCTCTGGAGCGTTGTAACGCCAGCCTGTACATTACATTGCGTCTTACAATGTCTGCTGGATGGAGTAATCCCCCCCTGCTCTGTCTTGCACCTCCCAGAATCCTCTCTGACTCTTCTCTACTCTACAAGCACTACCTACACCTTCCTGCCTGCGGAGATTTCTTCTCTTCTTTCCATGTTCACACTCAGACGTTCTGCTCTCTATTCTTTATTTCTTCAACTTTCAGATGTTATTTATAAAAAGTCTTAGTGAACCTTTCCAAGCTCTGAGATCCATGAGATTGAAAGTATGTTGTGGAATGTGGAATCACGCATTACTGCCTCCTCTGTCAATAACAGGCATTACATGCTCATCTTTTTTTCTGCAGTAATATAGAACTATCTGATAAAAAATATTTCTAAAAAAGTGCAAATGGTTTGTGTGTTATTGGCTAAAAACTGAACAACAGTGGTCACGTATTGTTACCCACACCAATGTAACATATTTTTGTAACCATTGAAAGGTTATTAGATGATTGTGTATCATGATGGAATTGTGTCATTGAGAATGAATTGTGCCAGTGGCAATGGGCTGGTCATACTCCCTTGACTAATATATATATATATACACACACAGACACATATATATATATATATATATATATATATATATATATATACACATACATATATATATATATACATACACACACAGACACCTATGTATATATATATATATATATATATATATATGTATATATATATATATATATATATATATATATATATATACACACACACACATACATATATATATGTATATATACATACACACACACATATATATATATATATATATATATATATATATAAAACACATGTATATACATGTACACATATTTAATGCTAGTTTCATAGTTTAAATGTGAGTAGACAAAGTCAGCACAATGTAGCTACAGCATGCAATTAGTGTAACATAGGTTTACTTATAGCTGTAACTATTTTGTAAACTATTTATAAGTGTTTTCACCCAAGTTTCATACAACTTTCACACAAGATTTACATAATAATTGAGTAATATGTAAAATATGGATGAATCTTGGGTGAAAACTATGAAACTTGGGTGAAAACATTGATTTTTATAAGATCAATGGTAATTTCACATAAACTATATAAAAACACAGACAACACAATATCACAGACACAATACGGAAAATAAATATCAAGCAGCTTTTTTCGAGTTGATGCATGTATAATATTTCACAAATCGAGTGAAGCACTATGGAACATAAGGGTTTCATCCACAGTCACTGCTTAATAGAACAGCCTCTTGAAAAATATGTCTGAAAATTTATGCTGAGGATTTGAGATAAGGAGAAGAGAAAGAAGCTTAGCTTCTTTCATCTTAATGCTAAAAAAAAAGATGGTTTAAAAAAGATTAATTCTAACTTCAAGGTAAGACTGTTATCTGGCATTACCAGGCAGACAGTTTTATGAAGAACACTGATAACTCATTTACTCAGCAAGATTTCCATTTTACCTATAAAGCCCCATTTCTAGGTATTATTGCTGAACTACTAGTATGGACAGCATGTCCTATCAGCCGTTTGTCTCCTGTAGATACACAAGAGCATTAGGCAGCAGGGACCCCATATCATCTGTACAGTAAGGTGTGCTTCCTCACTCATTTATTCAGTCGTCATCCAACTCAGATTGACATTCTTTATATAATCTGTGCAGTTACCAAATTCTTCAAGTTTTTTGTATGCATGTAAAATTGGATTTGTAATAATCAATATGGGCAGTACATATTAAGCTGAAGTTCAGTTATAGTGATGCCAAATATTTTATATAGGTAAAATGCAATATGATTTCCTTTTGTGTAACCAATTACAATGTGCAAATCTGAACTACGTTTAAAAACATAAACCCCCGTATTTATAAACAGCAAGATATGCAGATAATAGATAGATAGAGATAGATAGATAGAGATAGATAGATAGATAGATAGATAGATAGATAGATTTTGACTGTGTGTGTGACTTCCCCTGCCAAAGTTTTAATTGACTTCTGTCAAGAGGACATGTTGGAAAATGTTCCATTGATCAGTGGCCACAGCCAATCAGCTCCATATGCTGATCAGTTTATTCTGGTACCACTGTCAGAATACAATGTCCCAGTGGGGAGGATTCATCCATCTACCAGTTTGTTTTCCTTCAGCTTTAGTCCTTGTCAGTCTTCATAGAGGTTGATTTAATAAAACTGGAGAATGCAAAATCTGGAGCAGCTCTGCAGAGAAACCAATCAGCTTCCAGATTTTATTGTCAAAGTTTAATTGAACAAGCTGAAGTTAGAAGTTAGAAGCTGATTGGCTACCTGAATCAGATTTTGTACTCTCCAGTTTTAGTACATCAACCCCATTGTGTAATGTAACCCCTCAAAACAGCAGGCCAGTTGGACACACCTGAGTACCGGCCAGTCGCATAGGCACAGCCAGGGGCGGACTGACAACTCATGGGGCCCCCGGGCAATAGGGGATCATGGGGCCCCTGTGTCCTTGCCCAAACTCAAAAAAGCCTATGAAAAAGGTACCAGGGGCATCTTATGGGGTCCCCTACTGACCCCGGGCCCTCGGACAGTGCCCGAGTTTCCAAATGGTCAGTCTGCCCCTGGGCACAGCCAATTATTATTTCTGCCTAAGTATTAGTTCTGCACTAGTAATAGTACAGATAAATGTGGCAGTTCAACCAAGGCACAGGCATGAAAGCATCTACAAACAACAGTGCTCCACTACAGACAGACTACAAGTGAACTTGTATTTCTTCATCAACTACCCGGGGGCGGACTGACCATTTGGAAACTCGCGCACTGCCCAAGGGCCCGGGGTCAGTAGGGGGCCCCATGAGATGCCCCTGGTACCTTCTTCTTAGGCTTTTTTGAGTTTGGGCAAGGGCACAGGGGCCCTATGATCCTCTATTGCCCGGGGGCCCCATGAGTTGTCAGTCCGCCCCTGCAACTACCCATTATCATCTTGGTGACCTTAACATCCCTGTAATGTTAACACCCCAGCTACCTCTAAACTCCTCAATTATATACAATGGACACTTCTACTAAATCTGATGGCATCACCCTTGACCTTATATTCTCCCACCTCTGTTCTCCTTGCAACCACTCCAACATCCAGTTTCCTCTTTCTTATCATTACCATATCACTTTCATGCTCTCTCTGTTTTCAACTCCCTATCCCTCCAACCAGCACTTACCCAAGGAAATTTTTGTCACTTTAACCCTTCTTTATTCTGCAACAAACTGCCTCTACGATTAAATCTCACCCCTGTCCTGCCTTGATCTGCCACTTTTGTCTACAACAGCTCGCTCCCATCCTTCCTAGACACATTTGATCCCCTCATTACACAAAGGCCCTGACTATTACATCATTGGCAAACAGACGGAACCAGAAGTTTAACAGACAAAGGCATTCTCTTGAGCGACTGTAGAGTAAGAATGAATCCCTGCCTTGTATAAATCTGACCTCATAAAATACAATTCCTGCCTCCATGCTGCCAAACTGATCTATTTCATTACTCTCATTATCACCCTGTCATCCATTCCTCGTCAATTCTTTTCCTCTTTTAACTCTCTACTTTGTCCACCCTTGGTCCATCCACTAACCCCTTCACTGCTTGGGATGCTGTTAATAATTTACAATACAAAATACACACACTTTGTGATGCGATCTCTACTGTCCAGTTAGCTCCTCCATCTAATATACCAGGTCCTCTTTTGTCCCTGTTACTACAGAGGAGTTTGTTTAATATTTTCTGAAGCCCTACCCACCACCTGCCCCTGGACACAGTCCCCTCACATTACTCTAGTCACCCTCTTGCCCTGTTCTACACTAATATCTTCAAAGTCTTACTTTCTGTTGGCATCTTCCCCTCTCCTCTAAAGCATGCACTTGCCCTCATACATAAAAAGTCCTTGCGTGACCCCACCAGTCTGAACTACTTAGGACCCATGTCCTTGCTTCTGGTTACCTCCAAACTTTTAGGACACCTAGTCTACAATTGTCTGAGCTACCTACCACCTCACTGATAACCTTCTTAACACATTACAGTCTGTCTTCCACCTGCAACACTGTACAAAAACTGCCCTCCTAAAATTTGCTAACAACTTACTAACTGCTAAAACAACTTACTCATCCTATTAAACCTCTCTGCTGCCTTTGATATGGTTGACTACTGCTGCTCCTCAAAAAACTCCACTCACTTGGACTTTGGACTCACCTGAACTCTTCTCTTTCCTGGTTTTCCTCCTACCTATCTAAACGCACCTTCAGTGTCACCTACAACTCTATCTCCTCCTCTTCTCTTTCCACAGGGGACTGTTATCAGGTTCCTTTCTTTTCTCTGTCTGCACCTCCCCAGGTCAAGTGATAACTTTCAATCTGTATGCTGAAGACACCCAAGTCTATCTCTCTACTTTTCAACTCACTCCTTAAATCTCCTCACGCCCTACTAATTTATTAACTAATACATCAATATGGATGTCGCATCACTTTCTTAAACTCAGTCTTTCCAAAACTAAGCTCATAATATTTCCTTCCCTCCCTCATGTCCCTTCCCCTGACTTTTCCATCAAGATCTTCGGTGCTTACCTCTCCTTTCAACCCTGCAACCAATCACTGTCTAACTCTTATATATATACAAATATACGCCCCTACTTAACCAACGACACCTCAAAGCTACTAATTCAATTGTTTTTCAAAGTTGGGTACAAAAAAATTCCATACGAGGAATTCAATTTTCATATAGTGTGTACACAACGTTCAACATCCAATTCAGACCTTCCAAACGAAAATATCCCACGTCACAAACTCCAAAATTTTTCTTGTACGTGAACAGGACTAACGATTTTCATTTAATGTGTACTGTTTTTGTACGAGAAAAATTGGATACAAAAGACTGCGCCTGATCAGAAACAATAAACAACAACAACTACAACGTTT